GCCTTTTTTAACATGAAAAAATTAGTCTTTTCTTTTTCCTTTTTTTTTTTTTTTTTTTAATATAAAGTAGGTCTTTCAAACGAACAAGTTAAAAGATTGCGATCTTTCACTTTGACCATACTGAGATGGCTGATCTTAAAAGTTCCTATAGAATAAATGAATTCAAGTAGAAGGTGATTAATACCATAACCTCTTAGATAGTAACATGATTGCAAAATTTTAATTAGCAGATACTAATTCTACTACTAGTTGCATACTTACAAAATATATATCTCTACAAATAAGTTACAAAGTTAGTTTTAAAATTTGACACTAGATTTAATAACAAGATATTGATTACCGTGAAGGGTTTTTCAATTTAGTACCTACAGTAGAGTTTGTAGAAAGGAGAGATGCTTGGCATCTCCTCCTACATGGACTTTAGCTAAAGTCATATTTGTTGATTTGTTAAGTGCATTGGTTGGTAAAGCTTAAGTTATAACATAAACTAGACAAATATGTTTTTTATTCCCATATTTTATAAGACTCACAATTACCACTCACTTTATTATCCACATATTCCGTATGACCTACCTGTCAACACTTAAAAGCACTACCAAAAGTACTTTAAGTAAGGAAACGTGTGTGAATGTATACTACTGCCCATCCACAAGGCCATGAACATGACCTGATTGCTATGCTATAAAACTATGAAATAGTTGTGAGATGAAATGAAAATTATCCATCTGAGGATAGTCATAAGTGCTTGGGGACTCTAATACATATTTTCTTCCACATGACTTCAGCAAATATAACGCCAACTAGGACAGAAATGCAGAGCATACAAATCCTTGTTATGAAAAGGAATATCAAGAAGGTCTAGGGCAATCTTTCTGATAGGCAAGTTCTTGCCTGATATTTGCAGTTGTTTTAATTCCTCAAGAGAAATTGTAAGTAGTAAACAAACAAAATAGGATATGTAGCTCATTAACGTCCTCAACAAATTTGTGTATAGATCAGTAGGAGTCTATTAATTTCTTCTAGCGAGAGAAAATCTTCTGGTCTTATCGGATTAATTAAAGATGTTACTCTACTCGATCAAATTTTAGACTAACCACATAATAGACAACGTAAGGAGGCCAAGTCAGTTTTTACATGCACAGAGGATCACATTTGTGATTCTACTAAATTTGGAACCTTGGTTTCCCCCCTGCAAAATTCGTCGTTCTTCATTGGATTTTTCCTGTTCTCAAATAGAAATGGGAGAAATTCATAGAAAGATTATGAGCAAGTCTGACTATTGTAAGAACACAGATGTATAATGTTGCTGGATTTTTTCAAATCTGTATTCTGGTTCTGCCAACCCCTATGCATCGAAATAACCAAAGTGAATAGATAAAGAAAAACAAAGACCCTTTATGTTTCTTTTAGTTGTCAGAATTGTGATAATTTCAAACATCTATATGCTAATATGTTATATTTAACAAGTATGATCTCAATCTAATTCTATACTACCATGCTACAGATCTGATGTATGATATTGGTTGATGCAGATCCTTTGGGAGATCAAGTGTATGGATTCGGTTCTGGAAAGCGTGGCCAGCTGGGTATGTCTAATGATGAAGTCAAATTCTTCCTCAGATTACTTTGGGATTGATCGATGTCAAAATCATCAGTATCAATGCAAATGGAGATCATAGTGCAGCATTATCTGGTACATCCCTGTATAATAAATCTTTTACAACTTGTCCAATATCATGGCTTCCAGATTCACCATAAGCAGCAAAGTAGACAGCTCTGATACATGATTATAACCAGCGGCCACATGGGGCTGGGCTGGTGGTCCGCTACATTTTCAAAATTTTCTTGCTTAATACTGGATTTTTTAGAAATTTTTTAATATATACATAGTACATGTATATTTTGCCCCTCTAACATTCCCCCACCCATTTGAAAATCCTGGCCCTGCCACAGACTATAATGGAGAACAACTTGACCTACTTTTGGAATCTTGGGATAACTTCTTGTTAAGAACGATGCACCCCTTAGTTTTTTACATATAAAAAGGGGCCTTTTAGCGCAGAATGGAAAATAAACTTTGCGAAAACTCATGCAGATTAAATCTTACAAGGCATCATGATTATTGTTAAGATTTGGGGTCCATCTTATCAATATCAACCTTATTAAATGGAGAAGTCCAAGATCTTTATAAATTGGTATTTATTTCAGTATTAAACCGATGTGACATAATACATTCCTTAACAGGTCCCCTCAAGATGGTGGCTCATTTGAACAGACCAATTTTGAAATCCATGGGATAACTCTGATATCATATTAAGACTCGGGGTCCATCTTAATAAGGTCAACCTTATTAAATAGAAAACCCAAGATTTTTATAAATTGGTATTTCTTTCGGTATTAAACCGATGTGAGATAACACATCCCTTAACAATTGTCACCTTCATTTGTTTTTGCTGGCACCATTACATTAGCTAGTGGGCATTTGTACACATGGGGAAGAGGGTTTCTCGATGCCTCGGATTTGTATACTCTGCATTATTGTCCTGCAGATTTGTCATTCAATGAGGTTGCTCTAGGATGAAACCATGCTTTGGTGCAAACAAGTATGCAACTTACAATCTCTCTCTCTCTCTCTCTCTCTCTCTCTCTCTCTCTCTCTCTCTCTGTATGCGCGCGCGCGAACACACAAAGGAGAAAGCTAATTGAGGAGTTGCGTGTCCAATGGATATTTGGATACCTTTTGCAGGTTAGAATAAAGTGTGTATGCTTGGCGGCTATCATCATGGAATACTTGGTGATCTTCAGAAAATGGCCTTGAGGAAGCACATTTCTGGTAATGCAAGATGGTAATCTGACTCTTATGCTAACTGAAAGCTTCATTAATAAACTCCATTAACTTTATGCAATAGACTATCACGTGAAAATTGGACATTTAAAGAACCCAAAAGAAGAAAATGGATGTGTGGACCAAGTCTAAACCATCACCAACGTAGAAATAAGAGAAAAAGTTTTTAAAAAAAAAAAAAGGAAAAGGGGGAAAAAGAAAGAAAGAAAAGAGTCTGGCCTTTTAATTAATTATATTAATTGGCATCCATGAATGCTCTTTGAGATGAGATTCGTTGTTCAATTTTTCTTGTCCAATTTGCTATCTGTTGAATTTAAACACCAAAAGAAAGTAATTTTTATTAAGATAAAATTTTACACAATTTTTGATACACACTGAGATCACTAACCTTACTTATTTAGAAATGGAGCACTCACAATATTTCTCTCTTTCACTTACTCCACTCTCTTTTCACTCTCTTTCTCTATACTCTTTTTCTACACTTTCTCTCATCATACACACACGTACATTCAACCAAAACACACGTATATATAGGAAAAATATGGAGATGGAGTTTACTACCTACATTTTTCTAGAGAATTCTACCATTGTTTTCACAATTCTATTCTCTAGATTTTTCATGAATGGTAGTGGTCTTCATTTCCAACAAGTAATGAGTCTCTAAAATATTCTACATGCTTAGTCTAGCAAATTCTAGATATTTAAAGTTGGTGATGATTTCTTCAATTCTCCCCTTCAGCACCAACTTTTCATTTTAACTCTTTTCTTTTTCTTCTCGTCCAACTTTGCCTTGACGAATTTCAAAGCGCTCAATTCTTCACTTAACGCATTTGCTGCTTCAAATATATTTTGCTCTTCTAGGCTTTTCTCAATTTCTTCTTGTAGCTGTTGATCATTCACTTGTATTTCTCAATTAATACCATTTTGTGAATAACTCTGTATCACACTAATCAACTCTTCTTTATCACTCGATATCTTTAGATCTTTGGATTTCTCGGGACTTCGTTGTGCTTCCACAATTTTCTCTAACAATTTTCTTTTGTTTCCTTCAAATTTAGCAGCTCCACCCTTTTCGATGTCTGCTCCAGCCTCTGCGGTGTTTGATCCAGCAGATCTATCCTCTACGGTATCTGTTCTAGTAGATTCACCCTCTATGGTGTTTGCATTTCTTCAAACACTTCTTCTAATTCTGAATCCGGTAGGTCCTCCCTCTGCGGAGTCCACCTTGAAGACTCTTCCTGAACCTCGATCTCCTCTTTTGAGTCATCGATCCAATCTTCTTTTGAGTCATCATCTTCTGACTCATTAACCCAATCATCTTTGTAATCTAATTGATCAAGCAGGACTACCACCAATGCTGATTCATCCTTCACACTCGAGATGAATTTCTTTTTTTGAATCTGCTCAATTGTTGCCGTGGTTGCCTCAGCATTCCATTCTTCTTCACTATTATATTTATCTTGCTCGTTAGCGATAGCTATATTGCTTTCTACTGACTCCTTTTTAAACCAACAATCTCTAGGATAATGACTTTGTTTGCCACATACAAAGCACGTGCCATTAGTTCGTTGATATCCTTGACCTCTTTTGTCACAATTTTGTTGAGCTCCCCTTGTCTGGTAGCTTCCCTCAATCCTAGATTTATCTTCTTTTAATTCTTTATATTTTGTTGACGGGGTCGACCTCTTCTTTCATAACTATATAACGTTTTTTCCTCTTCTTTCTTTGTTGAGACCCCTAACATTTGTTTGGTTAATGCTTCTTGATCGACCAACAAATTTTCTAGATTAACTAATAAGAGTTGCTCGGGCCAACCTTGTACTGTAGAGATAAAACTTCTAAATTCGGGTCTCAATCCATGTATAATTATTCTTTTCATTCGAGACTCCGAAATTTTACTTGAAACATCTAACTCTGAGATTTCACGATAGAGAGATTTAACTTTATTGAAGTATTGACTTACAGTTAATTCTCCTTGAGTGGTCGAGAGAAGCTCGTTCTCCAAAAGCTGCAACCTCAAGTCATTTTTCTTTGAGAATAGTGAGGCCAAAATGTCCTATGCATCATTTGGTATAGTCTTGTCTCTTATATGCTCCAACAATTCTTCTTCAATTGTTGTCTTTATAACAAGCAAAGCCTTACCAACTTTGATTCTCCACTTCTTCAGAGCTCTGACCTCCTTTGGCGGTGTCACTTCACTTCCGCCAACTACCTCCCACAGGTCTTGCCCTTGGAGATATAACTCCATGCAAGTTTTCCATGTGGTGTAATTCTGATTATTGAGCTTCTTCACTCCGCTTACTGCTTGTAGATCGCTCATCATGGCTTGATTTATCTCCTCGTAATCAAGCAAACTTTACAAAAGCTTCACAAACTCCTTTTGTGTACGAACTCAAGAAGTTCAAAAAAAATTTTCCCCGACCGCCTTGCTCTGATACCACTTTGTTGAATTTAAACACCAAAACAAAGTAATTTTTATTGATAAGATAAAATTTTACACAATTTTTGATACACACTGAGATGACTAACCTCACTTATTTAGAAATGGAGCACTCACAATATTTCTCTATTTCACTTACTACACTCTCTTTCTCTATACTCTTTTTCTACACTTTCTCTCATCATAAACACACGTACATTCAACCAACACACACACATATATATAGGCAAAATATGGAGGTGGAGTTTACTACCTATATTTTTCTAGAGAATTCTACCATTGTCTTCACTATTCTATTCTCTAGATTTTTCATGAATGGTAGTGGTCTTCATTTCCAACAAGTAATGAGTCTCTAGAATACTCTACATGTTTAGTCTAGCAAATTCTAGATATTTAAAGTTGGTGATGATTTCTTTACTGTCCACTTAATTAATTATTAACACATCATTTTTAAGTTAACATGCTATCAATTTGGTGGTTTAAAGGTGAAGTTAATGAGTTGGAGAAGAAAAATTGGACAGCAGATCTCAACTCATGCTTTTTACTATACTTGATCCATGAGTTTCAAAGAATTTTATTCAACAGGGAATGGATCAGTAATGGCACAGAAGTTCTACATATTGCTTAGTCTAGCAAATTCTTTGAAGTTGACTTAGTTTTCCATTTTCCAAATATACAGGGAACGGATCAGTAATGACATTGGGTTGGGGCGAACATGGCCAGCTTGGCTTGGGGGATACTGTTGATCAAACCGACCCTCAGGTGGTGAGCTTAGGTCATAACCGAGCCGAGGAACATGCCATATCCAGAGTCTATTGTGGTAGTGGGTTTTCCTTTGTTTTAAGGACATATGATGGGTATTCTCAAATTAGATAAGCAAAATCAAGGAATTAAGATTTAAGATTTGCCATCTAACTATCTGCCTCAGCTCTTAGGAAGAGATTCTTTGAAATTGGCGATTCTAAAACAATTCTCTTGAAAATATGTGCTTTAAGCTTGGGAAGTTGCAACTTGAAAGCCTTGTTTGTTTTCTGTTGTATACTATTTGATGGAGAGGGAAAGTAAACAATTGATACTTATCTGTGCGGATTATCCGTGAACTTCGTCTCTATGGCACAAAACATTTGGTGAAGCTAAAACAACTCTCTTGGCCTTAAGCTAACAACTGCGAATCAAAAGTGGAGGGCTGGAAGCCCAAACATGTTTGGTGCAGAGGATACTGCTGCGCGGGATAATGAACAAGATTTATTTAGAACCGTCGAGTCGAGCATAATAAGCGTAAGACGTTTGTATATACCTGTTTAATGTCAACTGAGAACTTTTCGTTGTCTATGCTTGAAACTGTAATTTTGATCTTTCAGAATTCACTCCTTATAGATTAGCTTTTCGAAGGAGATTGAGTTGTGAGCCTTTGTTTTGCACGGTGCAGTAAATTTTCAGTAACCTTTTCCATTCCGAATCACATTACATGTACATGGGGGTTGCCAGGCATTTTGACAGTATGCCAGGCAGCAACCAATCATTGGTTTGTTTAAATCTGTTTTTGTCCAACATCTAATAGAATGCCGCCACCTGACATTCTGCCTGGCAAACCACCTTGTACAAAGGGCTTAACTCTTCTGTTCGTCTTTCATTGGCCAAAATAGGCGCTCTATTTTTACAGAATGTAGTAAAGTGGGTGAATTTTTGCCATAAAGGACGAATCCATATAAAAGAATAGATTGAATTACAAGGGATGCAAAGCATGTATAAATGGTTACATACAAGATATAAAAGGGAAATGAACGACGACAAATTTTGTCGAAACCCAGTCGGTAGAATGGTGCTCATACTTCGTGCATTCATGTGATAATAAGAAGGTTGTTTTCATATCGACCATTATGAGTGATGGGGCGCAGAGGATCAACTTTCCATATGCCATCGACGATAAACTTAATCTGCAAATGTCATAGGTACACATGAATGTCCAAAAACAAAGACCACCATAGGCGAGGAGTGAACATGAACCAACCTCGTATCTACCAGGATACAACTTCAGGTACACAGAAAAGATGCCTGTTTTCGATTTCTCCATCTTTCTCTGCAATTCAATACTGCATTCATTCTACCAATCAAGAATCCAAAAATTGTATTAAAATGTTTGCAAGCTAATTTTCATGTTTTTCTCTTCTACGGTCACCTAGATAGAGAAACTCGTCAACAAAATTCCAAGCACTTGAATCCATACAATGCAAAAAGAAAATTTCTATTATACATTGTAGAAAATACCTCACCTGAGTTGTCCAACCGTCAAATGTGCCAGCTAAGAGAACCTCTGAAGCTGACTTTGGCCAAACTATGCACACGGTACGAAGAAGTTGCAAAGCTTTACGAGCTACGTCTATCCTCTTCTGCTTCTCTTCCAATATCTTTTGCGCGTCACTGCAATTTTATGGCAGAGGTATTACTATTATGGATAAACCTTAATCCTCCGAGAAACTAACAACACAGACTTATAGTAGTGTTTCGCCCTCAATGATAGAACTATTTTCACTCACTCCTGCAACTTTTCCACTGTAATGAGGGGAATACACAGTGTTTTGCACACCCTCCAGGCCTTCTCTCACGGAAATTGGCCCCCTCATATTCCTTTATATAGCATAGGAAACTGGGGAAACTAATACAAAATATGATGCCCAACAATGACAAAGGGCTAATGAAGTAAACATCTGGGATCCACAGTGTCTAGTTAGGCAAATTGCTGAAGAGATAAATTTCATTAGATGAATAAGATAACATACATTATTGCTAATGTCACTTTCCCCTCTAATACAGCTAGCTTGGCTCGAATTGAACGTAATCTTTCCTGGGAATTCATGAGCTCATTCTCCCGGAACTCCCATGCATCGGAAACCTTCTGCAAGTCACTAGAGGATCTTCCAGCAACCTGATGATGATATAGACATTGATTGAAAAAGGCATAATAGAGCATTTTACAGGTAAGTAGAAAAAATTGATCTGCTTTTCTTTAACTGCAAACTGTCTGCTACAATGTAGTCTATATGGAATGCTTATTCCTTCAATAACTAGTTTTCTTAGTCATCTTATTTTCCTTTTGGACTAGATTTACAGAGAAAAACAATTGATTCATTCCTCACAAAGATATGGCAAATATGCTCATAATAAAGTTCCTTTTTAATTCAATTGACTATTGTGCACGCACAAATTCTAGGCATTCAACAAATCAAGGTAAAAAGAAGCATAGACATGCGAATCACAGAAATCAGGCATGCTTACCTCTTTTGCTATATACCCTTCTTTCTTAGACCTCAAGAACTGAAGAGCTGTGGTTAGTTCCAGTTCCATATTCTCAAGTCGTGTTTGCACTTGATTTTGATTGCTCCCTTTGTGACAATCCAAAGTTTCAGCATACTCCTCTGCAGCTATTATTCTTTCATTAATAGAAGCTTTATCTCTTTCCACTTGATTTTCACTCAAAAAAATGTCAGCAGCTGCACATTTCTGGGAGTTAAACACGCTGATAATCAAAGTCTGAAATATAAAACATCATAAATGACTAGAAATGTAAAACCAGGTACCTTCAAAATGTGTATCTCGGAAGCCTGTTAGCCGACTGCTCCAAGTTCTCCACATTTCTGGCTCATTAGATGGGCTAATCATTCCACCCGGATTAGCCAATTTGCCTTTGTGGGCAAACTCTGATGTAAGTCTGATGTATTTTCCAGGATCAGCAATGTCTTTTACAGTTTAAGAACACCATATAGCGTGTTACAAATGCAGAAAAACAAAATAAAGTCAGATGAATAGATAAGTAACAATTGCACGTATAATTACGAGAAAATCCAACCTTCTGTATTCTCCTGTATCTCTTTCGGGGTACCAAATCCATGCCAATCCAATCACATAAAACGATTTAATAAGCAAACGCAAGTTAGTTCAAATTCAATAAAACTCACCCACATCTACGGAGGTTCCGACATGTCTGCTCTCTCTTTCATCTTTACCTGAAGCAAAAGTTCCGAATTCATAGTTCTCCAGATTAATTCCAAAATCTGCATTCCTCTTTTTCTCCAATCTACCCAATATACCCTCAATCCCAGCATCTTCCTCAGCCCCGATTTCCCTGGGACCGGAAAGAAATAAAATTCTGAATAAGTACTATTTCCAATAAATTTATTATGCTTACAATTGATGAAGGTGAAGGATTGTATGGCCAAAAGTGTTCAACATCTATAATTATACGACTAGTTTTTAACGAAACCGTTCCACGAAAATTCAATGAAATGAAGTAAATACATCCACAGAGACTATTCTACTACTTATAAGTGATAACATCAACACTCAAATCTTAAACTACTAAATAAGCTAATAGCAGAGAACAAAATTTGGGAGCCAATATCGACTCATTACTCGCATGAAAAACAAAGACAAACCAAAAATATATGAAGCACATTATCAAGATAACTTCCAAAATAAAAACCTCACAGTGATATACCCGAGGACGACGAAGGCAGCTGATAATTAGCATCAATTTCTCCCAAAGAAGAACTCTCGCTACAACTCTCAACTCTACTCTGAAGCTCCTCAATCTTAAAATCTGCATCTTCATCAACATTTTCACCCTCCCAACCGAGAGAATACCGCCCACATTTCTTCTTTATAGCCTCCACCAAATCCATTCTTCCAGCTTTGAGCAACTCTTCCTTTGTCGGAAACATTGACGGCTTCTCCGATTTATCCATAAACTCCATTATTTCCGCCTCCAATTCTGCGTCTCCATCACTCTCTTTATTACGCCAAAAGCACCTAAAACTCTGGTTACTACCTTCAATTTTCCTCAACCTTTTCACTTCAAGAAATCGCATAGAACGGCTAAAATTTGCAGCTTTTAAGTACCTTCGAAGCCTTCTTTTCTGATTGTATACACAAAATTGAGAAGGTGTCACTAGATAATTCAAATGCAATAAGGGGTGATGGGAATTCGTAACGTGTGCACGAGTTGTGATGAGCGTAAACATCGTTCACGAAACGTGAATTAAAGAGGCAGGCTGCAAAAAATTGGAGAGAGAGTGATTAGAGATGAAGCAACGAACAATATCGTAGCGTGCATTAATGAAGGATGACGTATGTGTATGTATGCAATTAATTAATTATTGCTTAATCTACATCTTTAAATAAAATAATTACAGTAATGCTATATACCCGTTGGAGTTGTCACGGAGCTAAGTAGCATTACTGAAAAAATTTAGGATAGAAAGATTCTTTTTACCTAAGATGAAGGAAATAAAATTTAAGGTAGCGTTTGGGAAAAGAAAAATCTATCTTTCTTGACGTATAATTTAAAAGAGATTATCTATTACCATTGTATCCTTTAAATGCCATTAAATTTTGGGGAGTCGTTCCCTTGCGTTGTTAAGAAGACTTAGGCTTTTATCTCAAAAAGTTAACGTTATCAAGCAGAGAAATTGAAGTCTTTTTTTGTTGGTTAACATTTTCATCTTTATTTCACGTGAGATTGTCTTTAACATACCTCTAAATATGGTGGCTCGCCTGAGGAAACTAATTTTGAAATCTACATCTCAATAGAGTCTTAATCGGTTCAAATTGATCGTCGAAACTTAATGAAACCTGATACCATAAAGAGATTTAGACTAAGAAAATGAGAGAATAAATGACCACCAAATCTTGAAATGCCTCTAAACCTCGGCAAACTCGATTAGGTTATTAACTTAGAGAACCAAATTTGAGCAGCAAAAAGCCTTCTCTATTAGGTTATTTCTATTAAACTCATTGTTTCTTGAAGTGGCATATATTGGAATAAATGCAATAAAAAAAGTTTGGAAATATACAACTTGAGATGAATTTGACAGAAATGACTCGATTTGATTTATACTTTTTAATCTCGATCGAAGCACAAATGTGGTCTAAAGGTTGGAAAAACGTGTAGGAAATCTAAAACTTTGCAGGGTCTTTCCAATTGAATTACACTATATACATAAATTATATTAATTAGTACTTTGCGTGGGGTATTGGGTACATATAGAGACAGGTTGGTGTGGATAAAATTGGTCAATATTTGGATTTGGATTGGGGAAGAAAAGGGGTAAAGTGACTTGATATTTCCTTGTCTTTTCTTAGATATTTATAGTTCTCAAGAAAATATTGACTTATGTGGACCATATTTCATTGGCATAAGACATTTTCGTGAACCTCGTGTTACTTTTCCCCGCTCAAGTACGAATTTGATATGTCTTCCTTTATTTTAAAAAAGGTTCAACCCAATTTTGAGGACTCCTACCGTCCCGTCTCTAAATCGTTGTGAGGGAGGTAAATCGCAGGATGTGTCCCAACAGGCTAGGGAACAAGAGCTATCTATACACTGCGCCTACAAAGAGTCCAATTTCATGTATCAGGAATCGAACCCCCACATTGCAACTGCCAGTAAAGTGTGAGATAACATCACTCATGTCTTTTACACCACTTGGTTATGCCCTGGGGGCGCCTCCCTTATTTTGACTACATTAGGAACACTTCGCCTTTCAATTCCTTTAAACCCATCAAACTCATCCTCGTTGACAAAGGATTTTTCAAAGAGGAGATTCATTGTGATTGTTACGGATTCACCAAAGTTATAATAGCTCAAGTTAAGGAAATTTTGGTTAAACATATTAATAATTCAAGTTGTTAAAAAAAAAAAAAAAAATAAATAAACAGAAAAAAAGAAGACTTCTGTAAATTTGAATAAAAAATACACTGCAAATAAATCTGCAAGTTTTAAAACAAAACAGGATATGTAGGGTTCTTCACATATGTAACTCAGATTTTCTACTTATCCAGATTTACTGGATTTAGTTAAGAAACTAATATTACCAAAATTCTTTTAGCGTATCCTTAAATTAAGCAAAATTATATTCTAAAATGATTACGATATGAAAATTGACGGGTTAATCTATAGTCGACATGAACTACATAGATACAAGGACAAACTGGAGGCCATTTGAAAGGTGCAATCGCACATTTCCCATAATTATAGGGGCATCATACACATGTAAGTGTTATGTTTTGTTAATTTTAAGAACTTTTTTGTTGAAAGATTTTTTATTTTTATAAAGTTAAAGGGCACCACCTATAAGAGGGGGGAAAAAAAACTATTATCCAACTTGCATAGTATAGTCCATTTAAAATCACATATAAAAATGTTATCTGTATATATTTGTGCCCGATAATTATAGAGACGTCATACACATATAAGTGTGAGTAATGTTACTGCAGTAGTCATATTATGTCTCAGTTTGTTATTGAAACATTAGCTTGTTAGTTCAAGCAACAAAATTACATGTAATTAGTGCCTCAAATAATAAGTTGACACATAGATGTCACGTATAGCGACCACTGCAGTCACCCCGCTACAAATAATATTATTCAATAAGTGTTATATTTTTATATTTATGGTTGTTAATTTTAAGAACTTTTTGTTGAAATGAATGTTTTTATAGAGGGAGGGAGGGAATCGAACCCACATAGCATAGTCCATTAATAATCTACACCCAATAAATAAGCAAAAGAAAAAAAATTGATATGTCGACTAAAATATTGAAAAATTGTAAAGAAAAACAATATTGTAAGGAATTTCTACAATTAATAATTTATGTAGTCATATCTAGCTAAAAATTTTTGGCATTTTGTGGAATGAATGAGAGGCTTTTGAGGATAGTAATGTGAATTCTTTAGGACTAATTGAAATGATTGAAAAGTGGCATCCTGTAATGAATATTTATGACATATAGAAAATTATGGTGTTCGATCGATATTATTATCTTGGGCATAAAATTCAGAATAAATGGATTATATCTTTGGCTTTTGAAATCAAAAGCACAATTATTAAGAAAATCAAAGAAGCAAAATATTTTTTTTGATACTTGATTGTACTCTTGATGTAAGTCACAAAGAATAAATGTCATTGATATTAAAATGTGTATATGTTTCTAATAAACCAATTAGAATACAAGAATAATTTGTGAATTTCTTAGAAGTGGATGATACGACTGGACACTTTTTTTTTTTTTTTTTTTTTGAAAGAATTACAAAATGCTCTAGCAGCGCTTAATCTTGACATTAACGATGTAAGATGACAATGATATGATAATGGCCCTAAATAAAAGGCACCAATGTATTAAAAAGAAAAAAAGAAAAAAACTTAAATACTAAACCAAGAAATCTTATACGATATGTGGATGCCATAGTCTTAATTAACATTTAGTGATGTTAACGCAAAATAATCTTTTGGAGATATATAGTATTTATAACTAGTTTTTTAATTAAAAAAGACATGAAATTTTTTGAAAAACAATGTTAAAATTAATGTTAAACCATTGTCAGATACACGGTGGAAAGTCATGTTGAAGCTATTAGATTTCAATTTTTTCTAGGTCTTATACGATATGTGGATGCCATAGTCTTAATTAACATTTAGTGATGTTAACGCAAAATAATCTTTTGGAGATATATAGTATTTATAACTAGTTTTTTAATTAAAAAAGACATGAAATTTTTTGAAAAACAATGTTAAAATTAATGTTAAACCATTGTCAGATACACGGTGGAAAGTCATGTTGAAGCTATTAGATTTCAATTTTTTCTAGGAGAAGTTTAACTTGAATTAGCTATAAATGAAAATGCCAATGATAATGACATGAGGTGTCAATCAAATGATTTAGCAGTCCTCTATGTTGGGAATTTTGAATTTTTGGTAGCTACAATTATATGGTGTGAGATATTTTATGATGTTAAGCCCTCGTTTTGGCCCCATTAAATTACATTTCATTACATTTTATTTTTTTCTCTCCTATTTTCAATCATACAATTTTTTATAAAATAATATTACACGTAAATCGAAATTTTTTTCTTCTTTTTCAACCACTCATTTTTCAAAAAAATACTATTCCTCTTATTTTCATTACCCAAAAATGGGGATCAAACCGGGGCTTAATTAGCAAACACTTACAATTTAATAATATTCTTATTGATATTTCTATTGAGGAAGTGCAAGGGTTGGATGATTTCTTTAAAAGACATTGGGAAATTGGGTTCAGTGATACCACAAATACTGCCATTGAAATGAAAATTTCTTCGATGTTTTAGGTAAAACGTTCGTAAAAAGAAATATTTTGATGAAAATGCCACTGTGATATATATATAATTAATTGTGTATAAATGCTATTTTAAAGTTAAGCCTCAAATTAAAGTGATCTAATAAATAATTAAGTAATTGGGCTTATGACTAAATAAAGTGTGGATCAGATTATATGTATAAATACTAAATTTCTTTATAATTGTATTTCATGATAGGTGAAATACATATGAAAACTATATATAGGGTTATGATTCCCAATTCATATGCAATTTCTCATTCTTTGTGTCATCCCATCAACTAGGGTTGAACAACGAAACCATCAAACTGTAAAATCGAATTAAAACCATTGGTTTGATTCCATGTGGATCCGTCAACGTTTTAATTTTGAACCAAACCAAATCGCTTCGAAGTGGTTTGTGTTAGGTTTCAATCCTTACAAATCGTCAAACCATTTACAAAAAATAAAAAATAAGAATATAAAAATAAATTAGTCTGAATTTTATTTAATCCAATTAAAACTTAAAACATTTCAGTTAAAAAGATACATCCATATTAGATAAAATACAATTAAACTCAATTCGACAATTATATATTCCATTTAATTAATTAAACTATATCCAAATACACAACAGTCATCATAACTATGAAATAAAACCCTCAAATTTAAACTTGCACATTTCAATTCTTTCTACTAATAATTTTCTCAAATATTGCCTAAATTAAAGTCAAATTATCCAAATTCTTTTATTTTTGGTAATTTTTTCTATGTTTTTATTGATAATTATGTTGTTTGGTTCTAATAATTGTCAGGTTTTCTTAAAGTAGTTTGCCAATATTTGGCTAGAGTAGAAGTATTAGACAATTCACAAAAAGTCACAGTAGTTAGGTATCATTGTATATGAATTTTTTATTCACTTTCTCTTATTAGTTATTTTATTTCATATAACTATAATAAATGAATTCATA